GTCCCCGTCGGACCAGGACAGTCCTCGCCGATGTGGCGACACGCCGGCGTACGAGAGCGCGGTTCTCGCGAGAGCGCGTGTTACCGCAGAGGGTTTGTTCCCGGAAGGGAACCGGTGGCACGTCGTTACCGGGGCAAACTACGTCGTCGACAAGCGCCGGTCGGTAAGTGCAGGAGGTCCGGTGCACGTCGGCCGCGTGCTCCCGGTCGTCCGTCCACCCCCGGTCGCTGCCTCCGCCTCCACCTCCGCCGCCACCGCCGGATGCCGCGATGCGGGGCACCGCCGCGACGGCTGCGGCCGCTCCCGCCATGCTCGCGGCACGCAGGCGCGCTTCCGCCCTTTCGTTCGCGGGGGTGTCGATCACCCCCGCAGGCCCGGCCCTCATGCCGCGTCGTGGAACCAACCCCTGTGCGACCTCGGCGCCCTTCGGGGGCGGAGACCTCGCCCGCTGGCCCTCGTCGATCGGGCGCGTCCTGTCTGCCCCCGGCGACGTCGTCGTCCGTCTCGCGCGAGCCGGCAGTGTCGCTCGGAGCGGGTCGGCAAGATGATCGGCGCCCTTATTGGCGCGCAATCCACGTACAGTACGCTCGTGCAGACGACGACCATCGGCGAGACGAGAGTAATAATACGCGGCGCCGTCCACCTCGCCGCCGTTCGAGGCTGAGACGTGTTCGCCGAGAGATTCGTTGCTGATATGACCACGTTTCTGATCACGTCGTCGTCGCGCCTCGTGCCGCAGCAGCTAATCCGGAAATCGACGACCGTGCCGCGATAAGGGCACGGCGCACAGCTGGGTCACGTGAAAGACACCGCCGTACCGCAGGGCGAAGCAGCTGAAACGCGCGTCGCGGCGCGGGTATACCGCATCGCGCGATGCTGGACCTCAAGAGCAGCGGTACCACCGCGGCGGAGCTACCACGCACCACGGCGTTCACCAATCTATCGATGCTGTTCGCCGGTACGTTCGACGTCCGATGCACTCCTGCTCTGTGCCCCGTTTACGCGTCTACGAACGCTTTAACAACGCTTCAACAACGTGCCATATGTTCGGTAGTGCGGTGATAAATCGCGATCCACGCGATCTCTCTCTCTCTC